TATAGTAAGGATCGCACTGCTTGTTCGGTCTATCACACCCCCTTACTCATATTATTGCCCACGGGAATTTTGCGGTTGTGGAGCTGTTAAATAAGGGGCTTGGAACTTTAGGTGCCGTCCGAGCTCGTAGAGCTGTCGTGTTCCTGGCCTTGCTCTTAGCACGATGGGCACCTAAACCCTAAAAGCCCGTTTAAAAGCCAACGATTTGGGATCGAAAACCTCCTGAAGCCTTGCATCTCAAACACTTGACACCTAAATGCGATTTGTGTGGCGTAGCCTTGCAGTTGTCGTGAACTTTTTCCTCTAGCCTTAAACCCTAAATCTCAGGCCCTGTAGGATTTGAAAGGGGAAAGGTCTTACGGTCGCCTAAAGGGCCCTTATCGCCGCCGTGCGGCATTCGGGCAAAGGCTCTGCAAGCATTTGGGCTCCGGGACTAGTCCCCCGCTATGGGGGTTGGCCTGCAGGGCCGAGGGTGTAGGATTTCTGGGAGCGTTTGGATGCAGTAGCCGGTTTCAGCTTTGCGTGTAAACTGCGGAGGTTTTGGAACTAGGCTGGTCTGTCGCTTTTCGGGGGCCTCCAAAGAGTGCAGGATCATTGCGTCGCTACCGTACGAAACTCCTTAAGAACCACACGCCTCAACCTTGGACTCTGGAGCCATGTATCTCATTGGCCCTTCAACCTATGCTGCCTGCGCATGTCCGGAAAGAGCGGCTAGTACCGCCAAGCACCTGAATAGAAAGGAAAGGCGCGGCAGCGACAGCGACAACGGCGGCCGACCGCAACGCAATTACTGCAACCATCAGCAATGACGACCGCGTTTATGAGCATCATCGATGTGATGATAACCGCTGTCAACAACAGCACCAAGATGACCCTCAAGACCGTCATTGCGGTCACTAACATCCCAAAAATCCAAGCTATGTACGTTTAAAAAGTGGTTCTAGCTTGATACTTAGGGTGACCATAGTGATCGTGATTTTAAAGACAAAGCACATGTACGTCCTGATGTCAACATTTCACGTTCCAGCGTTGGTGATAATCTGAGCTACTGGCCTGTCAGCACTACAACCGCGACTATCGCCTGTCACTGTCGCTGCTATCAGCAAGTTAGCATGTCTATCGCATTTCCGAATAATGTTGTAAAGCACCTTGGCTTGAAGTGTGATCAACATGACGATACTGCATGTCATCTCCTGATCTGACCACAGCCAGTGGAAATAGAACCATGACCGACATCATTGTCTGGATGTGACAAGTTGTGTAGATGCTGGATCTTGCAAACCGTAACATGGTCAAACGCCAGCAGTGCTGGTACTGCTGAGGGCTCTACCCAGCTTTCAGCATCAGCTTGGTCGAGTAGGCCGGCTACCCATGAGCAGTCCTTGTCTTACACATTTGACACACTGCTGAGCACCAAGCGGAAACCGCATAGCAAACAGTCTCAAGGCACAAAGTTGAGGTTTCCATCTCTGTGAAAAGCCTTGCCTAGGTTACTCCGGACTCCCCAATTGCCTTGTCACGACGTGTATGCATCGAAAGCTGGCACTTTGCAACAGCTTTTCGCTGCAATGACGCTATCTGAAAGCTCTGCTTCGGCACTGGGAATCATTGTCTTCTGCGACTTCCTTGAGTGTTGACATGCAGACCTTCGTTGCTTCGCGAAGTGTAGTACTAGTTCTTGGTCTACATATATATATATATATAGTATAACGGTTTCCATAATGCATTAGAAGGCTTCACAATGGGTGTTCCCGAAGACTTCTGTAGGGGTCGAGGGCTTCGCTGCTCCAGCTGGGTTGACTTTGCAGTTCTTGGGCCGCCGAGTGAGCACTGAGTCCCTGGCCGTAAGTGGATTTCGATATCAGATGTCGATCTTGAGCCAAATCGACCGAGGTCAGAGTCGTGGTGCGCACATGCGAGCAGAACCGCAGTCCCGGGCTGCTCTCTGAAAACTACTAGAATGCGTCCCATGGACCTCAATAGGCTGTGTAGGATTGGACACTGAGCAGAGGTTCGCGAAGGCCCTCGCTGAAGTCCTCGCAGCTTCCTCTCCGACGAACCCCAAACCCACCAGTCTAGGTCCCGGACATGGAGCCGATGCATGAGGTACTCGTAGAGGACATGTATGTTTCCTCTTGGTCAGCATAATAGCAGCTAGGGCTGACAGCCTCCCAAGACCTACAAGTCCCATTACTGAAGGCCCTTTATCATCCAGAGCCTGGAGCAAACCATCACGATCCGAAGCCCTAGAAGGCTGAACCGACAAGCTGTCAAATTTGCAACACCACCTGGGCTCAGTGTGCATGTGGGGTTTACCGTCTGGGACAAAGTGTAGACTCTGTGTATGCTACATATAACTTTAGAGGGTCTTGTTTATGACTAGCCTATGAGCTATGTTGAGTTTGACGGGTGCGGCTGTAGCTGTGCGCAGTCGCAAGTCGCAACTCTGCACCGGAGTGAGGTGAAGAACGGTTCAGTCCTCGCAAGATGTATTATGTCCCAAGCCTACCACCCATCAAACTGCAGCCGGAGCTTAGACTGACAGAGCTTGAAGTTGCAGTTGATGTTGCTTCGGAATCTTACCAACAAGCTGCCAAGTCTGGTACCTATACTGCATACCCAAAAGCAACACTAACTCCCACTGCCTACTACTTTCGCGGCTTTGCAGGATATACCCTGCAAGTAAGCAATGGTTACGTGCCTTGTCCAGAGCTACGGGCACATATCTAAGCCTTAGATGCCTTTAGACCAACCCCTGAAGCATCAACAGACTTCTCGAGTCGTCTCTTCTCGCGGCCGCGTGGCGTGTACTCTTTGACTGGGCCTAGGCGGCAGTCTTGGTTCACAACAGCTAAACCGCACAACTGTAGACCGTCGCACAACCCTAAACCCCAAACACCGAAACCTGTAGTTAGGACCTCAGCCTTCAGGGTCGATGCTTTTGGAATCCTTGTCTACAGCGAAGACGGTAGTGTTGGGTCTCGTACACAGAGAGAGAGAGAGAGACAGAGCAAGCGAGACAGAGAGAGAGAGAGAGATATATATATATATAGACACATATATATATATATATACATACATACATATATATATA